CCTGTTGCAAGCTCTAGATACATTTGCTTTGAATCGTGATGTAAGCTAATAGCTGGAAGCAGGTTTAGCAGTTAATTTTCCAATAATTGATTGGCATGTTTGGGGCATCTATTGTGCAGGATAGGGACCTGAGTGAGTATGAGCCTTCCCGATCAAGTACCAGCAAGCCCCTGTCTTGCAGCCATCAATTATGCGAATTGGGTCTGAACTGCCAAAGTCCAAATGGTTCCTGCCCTTACAGTGTTAACTACTCAGAAAATACTTCAAGCTCGGGATTGCTTTTTGAGGACCAATTATATTTGACCTCAAGTGGAGGTGGTGCACCTGAAGGTTCTATCCAAGCTCAGGTCATCATAGGGTATGTTTCTTTTGTGTATTCACAGTTCTGTAACTTGACATGTACTGTAAATTTGACTGGCAAAGTATTTGCTTTTCTCACTAATTGCAGATGTGGCAGCAAACAAAGTGGCAGTGACCTAGATGGATCTGCTCCTGATGGTCTTCTGGGATTGGGACCCGGGAAAATTGCTATTCCAAGTTTGCTCGCAAGATCTGGTCTGGTTCCACATTCATTTTCATATTGTTTTGATAATAGCTATTCTGGGAGAATGTACTTTGGAGACCAGGGTCCTGCAACTCAAAGAAGTACCACCTTTGTACCATACAAAGGCGAATAGTATGTTAAGCTGCGGTTTCTTATGTGTTGCTTGGCATGATTAGTTTTCAACGTTTTTGTTGGTTTGAAAAATTTAATTGCATACTGCCTCATCTTTAATTTTCCTATGTCTTCTGTATCAGTTCTGGCTACTTCATTGAAGTCGAAGATTATTGCATTGGGAGTTTCTGTTTAAAACAAAATGGATTTCAAGCACAAGTTGATAGCGGGTCTTCCTTCACCTACCTTCCTAGTGAAGACTATAAACTTTTTGTTGCTGAGGTTCTCTCCATCTCTATCTCTCTCTCTCTAAGTTTTCAATGTATTTTTGTTCACGATCTAAGATCAGTATCCAGTTCTTTATGGTATTTGAAATTACAATATATGTTCTTCTAGTTTGACAAACAAATGAATGCTACAAGGTCTGGCATAGAGAAGTTCCCTTACTGCTACAAGGCTCGGTAAATAACTTGTGACTTTGAAGTTGCTGTAATCTTCCATCATTTCTCAAAGCTCAAGTCAACTAATTACATTTCTAATGCAGTTCACATGGACAGCCAGATGTTCCTAGCATGAAATTCAAGTTTGCTTTGAATCAAAGCTTTGTGATAGAGAACCCCATGTTTCACATAATTGACTACCAGGTGATCTAGCAATGCACAGCAATCTGCTCAATCTTGTTGCATGTGAAAAAGAATTTAGTGCTAGAATTTCTGTGAAAATGAAATTAAAGGACGCTTTGGATTTAAAAGCTAAATCCTTTAGATTGTTTAGTATAACAATTCAACGTTGTTCATGAGTTTTTGAAGTAAATACTCGCTAAATGTGATTATGTTTTCTTATGTCTTGTGAAGCTCTATCCATTGAAGTAGGTTGCGAGATCAACTCTTGTCTATTCTATTTCTAAGAATAAGAAACTTCCATGATCTGGATTATATTTGTATCCCGAATTTTGGGTGTACTTTTGGTCAACAAGTAGAAGCATTCGTTATAACCTGCCCATTGGATGATTCCTGCTTTAGACTGTTCTCTTGAGATATCTGAGTCTAACATCAATCCCAAAATCTTACTTTGTTTTATGAGGTTAATGATGCAATGAAGAAGGTTAGTCCAGTGGCATGTACAACATGCTTAGACATGCTTCATTTTTCATGTAGTTGTGTATATATTACACAATGTAATTGCTTTTCTTTTTATTCTTCTTGTTGCTCAGTAAATATCTTTCCTCTGCGTAACTTAGACGAGATTACCAGATTTCATTAAAGAAAAATAGATGATCTGTTATTACTTAGGCTTCTCTGGTTCTGGGATGATATGGCCTGTTACAGGCTGAACATGAAGAAGTGATTTGTCTGTCACTCTACTCAAATAATTTCGTACATACTTTTTCCATTTCCTTTCTTCTATATATCTGCTTGCATTTCGATGCAGTCACATAATGTGACAATTATTTGTCTTTTCATGTTTTTGTCTTTTTTGTTCCATTAGACAGCAAATGTTGTCTTGTAGTATGAGAATTTTATTTGCAAATGACCGTTGAATTATATCACACAATATATAGCTTAAATATATAGATTCCTCACAAGAGGAAAGTTTTGGTGCAGGGAGATGATCTGTATTGTTTGGGCATACAACCCTTGGATGGAGGAATTGGTATCATTGGACGTCGGTACTCTCGTTCTTTGCTGCTTATTTGAATCTTAAGCCTTGTGCTATTTGCCTCGCTGCAAATTTTATTCTGGCCTCCTCCTCCTCCTCCTCCTCCTACTTCTCTCTCTCTCACACACACACACATTAGTATAACAAAAAGCATCTCCTGTGTTTTACAGCTCACAACTTTTTTCAGCTTTGCCTTGTCATTAACTTCATTGATGCACATCTTTCACAAGCAACAAAAGATGCACCTCGCTTATTATCTTTCATATGTGCACTATGCAGAGAACTTTATGATGGGATACCGCTTGGTGTTTGATTGGGAAAATTTGAAGTTAGGATGGTCCCATTCAAACTGTAAGTCAACTTTCTGTGCTCAATTTGATTGTCATGAGGTTGCTTTCTTCAGCCATAAGATAAAAGGAAGGTAGTACTGCATTGGTGGTAGTTTACTTTTAACAACTTTGTTTTGACTGAGATGGCTTGATCACAATTTTCTTAATGTACGGTGGTAAATATCCTGTTTATGTGGTCCAATCACTACTTAGATGATTCACCAGTTCTTTGAATACCTAGACTGGAAGTTGTACAAATTCAATGACTGATATCGCAATGACAGAGACAAAATATGTGCTGTTCTTGCTTAAACTGAGCTTTTTTACGTGGTGAAATGCACACTTATTCTGTCTTTTAATTTGCTTATTTGATTGATAAAATTGGTAGAGGTCGTTGCCTCATTGCCACCATAGCAGCACTCCATGGCCCCCCCTCCCCCCCACACCAAACACACCAAAAAACAAAAAAGAAGGGACTGATATGATATGATAACATTCAGAAGAAGTATCAATGAAGCAAATAAGTGGACAAAAACTTCAGTACCAATGATTCTCATACTGGTGTCTGAAAATGGTGCATCTTTTGATGCCAACATGAACTTTTCCAAATGTATCCCCTTTTTCCTTTTCCACGAGAATATTTATTGGCTAAATAAAACTAATATGAACTGCTGTTCTGCTACAATAGAACATCTATAGAAGAGGTAAGTATAATGATTTTTTCTTGCCATCATCCCATAATTAACTGTGGCTTCTTATACTGTAAATTGGAATTTATTTTCAATTGTCTCTTTTGCCTTTTTTCGTGTATTATTTTCTTTCACAAACTCACACACGACCTTAGCTCTTTGTCAATCTTCATTGAAAATATTTTCTTGATTGTGCGTTGCTTTGCTCCTTTGTATAACTAAGCTGATTTTCACAGGTCAAGACATAAGGGACAGTGACAGGGTGCATTTAACACCATCACCAAATTCTGCTGTCAATCCATTGCCAACAAATGAGCAACAGAGGACCCCCGGTGGCCATGCAGTCGTCCCTGCTGTTGCTCGTAGAGCTCCAGAAGAATCTTCTGCAGCATTGTCCGTTCACATTCTCTACAACCATTATTGCAAAACAAGTTTGTTGCTGCTACACTTGACATTATGGTTGCCGTTCTGGTAGCTCTATTTTGCATGTATCTATCTGTAAATGCTTGTTTCTTTTGTCAGGCAGTTGTAGAATGTTCAGAAAATAGTGTCTATTTTTTTCTTCCTCCTTTGGAAGCCAGATTTAGTCGAGCTAAACTACCATCATTTTGAGTACTCAGAATGAGTTGTGTTGCTTAAATGGAAACCAGGGTACTTTGTGAAAACAGTGACAGAGCTTTTTCGCCGGGTAAATACTTACCGTTGAAGACTACCATTTTACATTTTGGGATACTCATTTCTTAATTTTGGTACTAATCGGCACATATCAAAAGGTAACCTTATTGACACTTGAGAATTTGTCCTTATATGGTGGCAAAGGCATGAGATGAAAAGCTTGTTGCCTCACTCTTGCCAGGGCTCACAACTTTTTCCTCTTAGTTTAGTATGAAATTAGGACATCCGGAAAAAAAGAAAAAGCATTGACAAAGAACCATAAACACAGAACAATACAGAACTTGTTTTTCTGCTTCCTCCTTTTCATACTTCTATTTTGGAGGGGGTTGGCATTGTTAACCGGAATGTGTCTGCTATTCTCTTGGCATCTTGTGACATCTTGCCTTTCCCTTCTAGTCTAGATTACTTCATAAACGCATAGATTGGAAGCTTAATTCGTCATGCTTATCAGAGGAACCATGACATATCAAAGCCACATTGGTACTCTAGGCGAGCCATAACATAATTGAAACAAGATGAGCAATACCAGCACTTAGAGGTCGAAAGCCACAACAACATAATTGAGTCCACCTATAAAAAAATGACTCTAAGTCATGATATTCATGAACAATAAACATATTAACGTCTAAAGTACTGAATTGCAAACGATTTTAAATCACGATATTCGTGAACGATAAACACGTTAGCGTCTAAAATACTGAATTGAATTATCAAATACGGCTTTTGTCTTATCATTGGTTTCATTCATGCACATCTTTCACGATCGATTAATAGAAGTGTCAGTCCTATGATTATGACGAAAAGAAACATTTCGTTTTGAATTAAATTGTAATAGTATATGATTGGTCGACTCGAAACATATAATCAAATTAGAAAAACAAGTCACGTGGATTTAAAAAACGGACTACATTCCTCCTGAGTTGCCCCAATTGGCCTTGTGAACAAAGCAAGCCCAAAACCTTCAGTGGGCCTATTTCATTCAATCGAAAAGCAGTCGACAAAAATTATAATCACGTGATATGCACATGCAATAAACCCTAATATTCCTCCTCTTCTTTGTTACCCAATATACCAAATCGTTCCCCTTTTCCTCTGTCTCCGCACAGGCTTCCGCCGCAGGCTTGAGCTACTCCGGACAGCATACACCATGGCCACCGCCGGCAAAAAGACGGTAACTTCGCCACTCCTTTTAACAGTTTTCCACTTTCCCTCTCTGTATTACTGTTTTGAATTTTTAAGTTCATTTTGTTTGGCTGGAAATTGCTAAAAGAAATGGAAAAATTGCAGAAGAAGACCCATGAGAGCATCAATAACAGGTTGGCTTTGGTGATGAAGAGTGGAAAATACACTCTTGGTTACAAAACTGTTCTCAAGACTCTCAGGAGCTCTAAGGGTAAAGTTTCTTGATTGGAGGAAATGGTTGGGTTTTGTTGAAAAGATTGGGTTTTTAAGTTTGGTTTCTGATGGAAAATGGAATAAAATTTTGTAGGGAAGCTGATTTTGATCTCAAATAATTGCCCCCCATTGAGGAAATCTGAGATTGAGTACTATGCTATGCTTGCTAAGGTTGGAGTTCATCACTACAATGGAAGTAAGTGCTATTGACTTGAATTTTAATTGAGATATATCTGATACTAATTGTGCATTTGTTGTAATCTAGTAGCAGTAATCATATGAATTGCACCAATGAGTCAGTTGGCATACCCGTTTGCGAAGCAGTAATAGTGAAGTACTAATAGTCTAGTAATTTGTGTAGGCATGAACTTGCAGAGTCTTTATGTAATATATAACTAGCATGGTAGGATCAGACCTTTGCCATCATGTATTACATAGTTTATATGTATATTGATTTCGTTAAGGTTTCAACTATAAGGGTTGGAGTTTCGCTGGGGTGTGACCACCTGTTTAGCTCCTCTGTTTTCACAGGTGATTTGGTTCTGTGCACTTAGGATTTTGGGATGCCTAGAGAATTTCTGAGTTGCTTGGTTGAAATTTGATAAATTTTTTCTTGTGGGGAGTGAATGGTCTGATTGATTAAGTCTACTCTAATTAACCTGGGAACAGGTCTAAGAGACATTTTTGGACTGTTGGATGCAATTCTGTTGCCTGACTTTGATAATATCATGAACTTCCACTCTAGGACTGTCTAATAGTGATTTTAGGACTGTTGGATGACCCCTAGTTTGTCTAGATTATTAGTTTTTGTTGTTATGACTGTTATTTGAGTCTGAATCTGCATATGTTGAGTCACATTAGTTTCATTTGCCTGAATGTCTGATGGCCACCTTCTATCCTGTAGACAATGTTGATCTTGGAACTGCATGCGGCAAGTATTTTCGGGTATCCTGTCTTAGCATCGTTGACCCTGGTAACTGTTCATCTTCTTTGTTATGTTATTGGACATATTCTTTTTCCCCATAAACAAATGATTTGCATATTATTGACTTGTACTGGGCTCATGCTGCAGGTGATTCGGATATCATCAAGTCTCTGCCCGGGGATCATTAATTCTGTTGTTTGATGGCACCATGAGATCAGAATGAGTGATGTTAAGGCTTTTGTTGAGAGGATTTTATTTTATCGCTTATTTCCCTGTATTAGAAAAATTATTTTTAAAAGTTTCATGTAATAGATCCATATATCTCTCAGTTTTGTGTTAGCTGCCATCGACCTTGAGTTTGAGATTGGATAATAGAATTAATCTTCTAGTTTTACCTATGAGCACTGAATTGGTCACTCGGTCTTCCTAAGGTTTTCCTGATGGCTTGAGTGCTAACTGCTAAGCGGTGATCAATTCTTCTGGTCTACGTTTTTTGTGCACTTTTTCTCTTTAGGCAAGAATGGTTAGGTATACCTTGGATGATTTGAATCTTGTCTGTGCTAAGATTATACCTTGTGAATCTAGCCTGTACTAAGGTATGCTTGCTTACATCTCTTATAAGCTCTGAGAAAAATCCATATGCTTAGTTGCTTTTTTGTTTATAGATGCTCTCTCTCAAATTTTTTTCCCCATTTTGAAGATTGGCTAAAAAACTGATTCTGGAAATCAGTTTAAACAGTGCCAGTTTCAAGACCTTTCGGATTCTTATATGCAAGAGATAAAAATTTGAAACCGGAAATGACACGGTGCAACTTTCTAGGTTTTTTTTTGGGGGGGGGGGGGTACAACTTTTTGGGTCTAATAAGAAATTCTTTAATTGAGGGAGTTAAAATCGTCTCAAGAGCTTCATAAGCACCTATTGTCTTCTATAGAGCTGCACGTGAGTTGAGTCACTCGCAAGCAATTTGTATCAAAGCTCGACTCTAAATATATATATAATTTTAATTTTAATAATAAAATTATATATTTTTTTATTAATTTATTATTTGTTAAAAAGTTATTATTTTATTTATTTTTAAAAAATAAAATAATTATTTTTTTAATTTTTCTAAACTCGATCCCGATTTAAATTTGAGTTGGATTTGAGCTTGAGTTTTATATTGAAAATTCGTCGAGCTTAATAAAATTAAGTTGAGGTTCGGCTCGATTAGATTAAAGTTTGAATTGACTCGTTTGTGGCCCTAGTCTTCTACACTATTGTTCAAGTGCTTTGTGTTACGTAAGCTCGTTTAGTTTCTAATCATATTTATGTACACAATCCACTCGAAAATGAAGACTACTATGTCTAAAACATCGAAAATTGCAATTTGAAAAAAAAAAAACAAAAAGCTTATTCTGACTCGATTCTTAAAATGTGGTCTCATTTTGAATTGAATCATCCCATTTTAATGTCGGATGAATAGTTACCTGGGAGGCCCCAAGTATTGTTGACAGGTGTATAAAAAACTTACTCAAAATAAATAGCATTTGGGGACAAAATCTAGCAAATTTAGTAAACTTTCCTGGCAAAGTATAACAATTCAACCGTTCTGATTTTGCTGCTATCATTGCTTTTGATTCCTAAATCCTCAACTCAGCTCGTAATTGAATAAGATTCTATTTAAAAATAAATAAATAAATAACCAGTCAAATGGAAAACCTGCAAAAGAACGCAGGAAGCAAATCAAACTCGTATTGTTTTGGTAATCTCACGATGTTTTATTCTAGCGCGAATCCAGGTTTCTTGGCAGATGAACAATTCTGAATCTTAGACTTGGATGCTATTTATAGTTTGGTACTAGAGTATTGTCCTGCTTTCAATCCAATTTTATTCAACTGACTTGAGATTGTTTGTCTTTCGATCAATCCAGGCAGTTGCGTACGAAACTGTTAACTTATCTATCTATGTTTGTATTCCATATATATGCCCAAACGGGCCAAACCTATGTTTATTTCCGTACGGATGCTTCTTTTCTCTCTTGAATAGCTAGTTTTACAGTGCAAGACTTACTACCAAAAACAATTTTACCTACAAACAAACAAATATATCCATCCCCTTTGATTGAGGTTACAGATCTATCAAGCTCCAAACCAAATCTGTCCTTAAAAAAAAAAGAAAAAAATCAAGGGTAGGAATTTACAGTAAATGATTATGAGGGATCTCAGCGGTAGATTCCAAGTTCAGATAAAAATTTGTGGATAATGTAGATCTTAACTCTAGATACAGCGGATAATTTTGGTACGGACATGGACTGCTAAGACAGCGATGCTTGGATATCGTTTTTGATTTCTTTGTATTGCTTCGTCTGGTTATAAAAATATTTTATTGTGGAACAGTTTCTACCCTCTCTAATTGCCATTATTATTGTTGTTGTCATTTGGAAATGGGTTGATTACCATTTAAAAGATTATTAACTCCAAGAAACACAACATACGACTTTTTTTTTTTTTAGCACCCGGTATCCCCACCCTTAGTGAGACTAATCCGGATTCGATCTGGGGAGCGCTCGCAGAGTCCGACTCTTATTCAAGGGTGAAAGTTTGGTCCAAAACTTTTCAAGACGCCACATGCAGGAATCGAACTTCCTGTTAGCATTAACAACCCACTTACCAGCTGTCCCAATCACATGGCTCACTCCATACAACTTCTATGTTAACAAATAGATAATAAAATATTTCTCACATCTTTGATTCTTTACTTTTTCTCGTTCAGTTTAGCATTTGTCACTGTTGTAGGTTCTACTAATTTTTTTTAAGGGATCAACTGTGATTTTTCACCTACTTATGACTCGAATTCAAGATTTATTGGTTAAAACCTTAAATGTGAAGTTGTCTTACTAACTAATCAGCACTCTTATCAACCGTATAACACTATTGTGACTCGAATTCTTGATCTATTGATTAAGGTGAAACAATTATCAATTAAATTATACTTTGTTATCAATTTGATGACAATTAACTATTTAATACTTTTTGTGGGACCTATGCCTTGTAAAAGGACATGGAATTGATTTAGAATTAACTTTCATGATCCAACAATATACATAATTCGTTTCAGAAATCTACCCAAGATAAATGGAGCCTTCATCTCGATCCATAGTATATATATGCACGGGAGTAGAACTCCTGGATTTCGCACAGACGAACACACACACAAAGATCATCATGCAGATTTCAACGAAGGGACGCAATCTCCTCCTAAGTGACACATACATTAAAAATGTCAAATAATTGACAGTTGTTGCCCTCGTGGCACAAAAAATCCTCCACGTGTAACTCCCAGTGACACGTGTATTTGACAATTTCTCCAAAATCCAACATAATAGATTCCAACTCATCCACTATTATCTATCCTCTTTTATTGACCCAATTTATAAATCAATAAATAACCAACCTCAGTTGATGCAGGTCCTCCTGACCGTGTTTTCTCTTTAGAATTTTTTTTGGAATATGATCTAAAGTTATTTAACTCTCTTCAAATTTCTACAATAAATTAGATGAGTCTCTCGATAGATTGGTTAATTTGCTCCCAATATAGGATTATTTGTAATAATGTTGTATTAAAAAAATCAATAAATAAAGTTACAAGATCACAATCACAATCATCCAAAAAAATATATACAAAATTCTTGTGCCAATCCTACCGAAATAATATAACAAACAACAAAATAGTCCCAATCCTTTTTTTTTTTCCAAAAAAAATACTATATTAAATTCAAATAATATCTCAAATTTTATCCTTATTATTATCATAGTTTCATCAAACATAACTTTTACATTTTTACCATCCAAAATTGGATGTTAGACCTATCCCAAACTCACGTCCTTAATCCACCCAATCCCCGAAGATACTATGACTCCTATATTAGCTGGCACTGCCAATCTTTCCCTCTCTTCAATATTCTGCTCTTCTCGATAACCCCTATCCCCTATATTTATCCTTTTTTTTTTTTTTTGTCAAAACTATCCCCTATATTTATTCACCCCTTTTTCACTTAGCCGCATTCCGCCCCATGCACCCCTCCACCGAAAGCCCTCAACAACCCAAAATTCTTTTTTCTATGTAATTCTTTTCGTGTAAATATTTTTTCATCCCATCTCTGATGAATTACCTAGAAGACTCATTCCAGGGCATAGCTCTAGACTTGGGCGATTGCATTGGAACGGAGAGTTGTGTTGATCTAAGAAGTGACATTGATCAAGAATTTTGCATGGTCCAAAAGACCCGTGGCAGGAGAGGGAATCAACGGCTGGAAAGAACGGAGAAAGAGTATCCGCCGCCGATACCGTGGCTGGCACGCACCGAAAACTTGCCATCCCACATGCCCTGGATTATGAAACGGTATTACACTGACGACGGGAGGTTAATAATCAAGGAGGAGAAAGTTAAACGGCATGAATATTTCCAAGCGAATCGGTCCGATGGCCGTCTAACTCTTCATCTTGTCCCTTTGGACGACGACGTATTGGACGATGATTGCGATGAGGAAGAGTTTGAGGTTGCATGTGATTGGGATAGTGATGGGATGATCAGCGGTAGGGATGATTTTGATGGTGAGACGGATGACCATCGGACGATTGTGCAGGAAGAATCAAGAAACAAGAAATCTGAGTCTTGCATGGATAATGGAGGGGGTGCAATAGTAGGTGGTGACCGTGGCGGCGGTGGAGGCGGTAGAGGGCAATGTTATATGTATAGTAGTAGTTTGGGTAGGAATTCTTGTATGTTAGGTGCAGGTGGGTTGGCGGTAGCAGCGGTTAGGCCTGTTCATACTTGACTAGTTCGGCATTGTTGTCCATTCTTCTGGGAAAGTAGGGAGAGATGGTTTCTTCTTTTTATTTCCTTTAATCTTTTGTTATTTTGATTTTTTGATTTATGTTTAGATTATGGGATCTTTGATGATTTTTTCATATGTTGCTTAGTTTTAATCAATATTAAAGCTAGTTCTCCATTTTAGTTTTGTCAAATTACTTGCGGATTATGAGGGGGTCTCTCATGCATGTTTTAGGGCAGTGCTGTGGACTGTGGCTTGTAAGCTGTAAATCATAAACAGAGGACTTTGCGTTTAGGAGGGGGGAAAATGGTGACAGCCCTTTTCTAAAAAAGGAGAGAGGGGGGTGGGGGGTTGGGAGGGAAGGCCGGAAGGGAGAAGGAAAAAACATGGGAAATTCTGGCTCTCATGGATCAAGAAAGCCTCGCAACAGTAAACAAGTCGGGAAACAATGAAATGGAAGAAGGAAAAATTACTACTAACTATGGTAAATTAACAGTGAGCTTTGCTGGAAATTGCTGGAAAGCATTTTGTAGCATTATATCATGGGAATGATTCCTTTGCAGTAAGATTGTCATTAAATCATTTTTTTTAGAGAAAAAAAAAGAGGGAAAATATCATTAAGTAACACCCCTGATCCATGAATGGTATAATCATCTGGATACCAGTCTGGACTTGAATCAACCTCTTTATGTGCCACACGGTCAATAATTAATTTCTTAGCATTTAGGCAATATCTTGATTTTTGATTTGAAAAAAAAAAAGAAATAAAAGGGGGTTATCCATTGCGAATAAATCTAGCATTTGTTGTACATTTTTCTTTCTCGGTTATTTAACTCGTATCCTCAATGACTAGACAACAAAAAGCGGTGCTGACTTGTTTTCGGAAGCATTCACTTCAATTCAACTGTTAAATATTCCCATCTGCAATTGCATGCCAACTTGTGAATTAAATGTCACCTTCTGGGGTTTTCCGTATTTGCTGGACAGCTCAAATTAATCAATGTAACCTGCTTAATCTACATATTCCGTTCAGAGTTTGATTAGCAAGCAATTAATCAGTAGAACTTATTAGTTTATACTTTTAGGTTCCGTTTGATAAAACTGAATCTGAATTCTGAAGTTTGAATTCTGAAATCTGAATACTGAAACAATTAATTTGCTGAATTTTAAGCACTGAAAAAAATATATAAATGTCTGAATTTTAATGCTAAACCTATTTCTACTGTTTGATAAATATTTATAGCTGAATGCTTAATAAGTTTAATTTGACAATTTTGCCCTTATATCCTTTCATTCAAAAAAGAAATAGAATCTATGATTTAATTAGTTTAAAATTGTTAGGTATGAAAATGACAATATTTATTTTTAAATCAAATTAATATAAAAGATGAAATATATTAATTAGGAGTATGGAGAAGATGTGAAAGTCATTAAAAAGGGAGAAAAGAGAAACTAAAAATCGTTAGATAGAGAATATTATGTTGTTTAATTAGATAAGAATTTTGAACATAATTAACAAACAATGGTAGATTTGGTAGATAAGATAAGGTAGTTGAAGTAATTCTATTGATTCTTATCAGAATTAAGCATTCAGTTAGGATTCTTGTGCTGAAAAAAATACACACAGGTTCAGCACTGCTTAACAAGTTCAGCAAATAGATTTTCATTTATCAAACATTCAAAACATCTGAATGTCTGAAAAAATTCAGATTCGGCACTTTTTTATGTTATCAAACAGACCCTTAACGTTTATAGTTCAATTACTTAAAATGATTTGTAGTCCTCACTGCAAGAGCTATGATTATGAACACAAACAGTAGCATTCACCTGATTCCTAAATTCATTGTACATTCTAAGGTTTTGTAGTTAATTAAACACTCCCTTAATATGCCATTAAACGTTAATACGCATATAAAAAGTCTAATTCTCCAAAAAAAAAGAAGGCTTATAGCATCTTTAGTACGTATTTTCTAATGTTATATAGATAGCTAAAATCTAAACACAATTAGTAACCCCGTTTAACCATGGGTTGAATGTATTACAGCATGTAGACTTCTTGTTTTGCTCCGTCTATTGCTATTTTTCTTGGCGCCTGAACAATTGGAATTCCAAGAAGAAATGGATTAGAAGCTTCGTACTTGAGTCGACAAAAGACCTTGGCACGACATGATTAATTAAGTCCAAAAATTGACCATTAACAAAGTTTTAGCTGCTCAAGTAATATCGACGAGTAACTAGTTCGTCATTCAACTTTGCATATTATTTTTTGGTTTACAACTAATTTACACCGTGAATTTACATTATATTTTCAATTTAATTTGTACCCTAAACTTTAATTTTGAACATTTTACATCATAACCTCTTGGATTTGTTCCATTTTTCCTCCAATCAATAATGACATTCGCTTGAACTAGAGGGCCATATCCACAACGCGCTTTGTTTTGTATGATTGATAGGGATTGTGAGATTTTAACATGTTCAAATATGTTAAATAACTAAAAATTAAACATTTGAATTAATTCAATGACATTGAATTTCTCAGGCAAAACTTGTTCTTAAAAATAAATGATAAGTTATTCACTTATCATTTAATGTGATACACACTCAAATATATTAGATTTACTATTTAACAATTCAACAACTTAATCAATTCAAATTTCAAATTTCAGTTTTCAAACTTCAGTTTTTATCAAATGCACCCGAGAGTATATATTGTGTACATAGTCCTTTTTATTAGTTTTAGTGACAAATGTTGTCAATTGAATATAAGTAGAATAAAAGAGAGGTTAAGAAGTGAAGTGTTCAGAACTAAAATTTATGGTGTAAAATAATTCAGGGGCGTACAGTAGAATTAGTACTTGTATATATTTTTACAATAAATTCTTCGGAAAGATTTCTTACTAGTCTAATCTCTCAAATTTTATGGCATCAACAGTCAGCAGATGGAGGAGATATTTTATCATGGCTTGATGAAGGTGGCAGAATGCAGGAGAGAAGAATAACTCTTCTATCCGTCCGTAACAATTTCCGAGGTTTCTACATAGATTTGTGGATGACGAAGTTTACGTTGCCCGATTGATTTGATTGAGGGTTGATCATCATACTCTAATGCTAAGATGCTGTACAGCTGCTCCTGGCTGCCACTGTAAATAGTCAGAGCCCATGATTGGCCTGCTGCACTTTTCTCCGTATCCTGTTGTACGAAGTTCGAAAACTCTCTGCATAATTTTTGGCAGTTGAGGGGTACGAACGTCGATGATTCTGATCACCTGATCGGCTGTTCCATCATCCTCTTCACAAAAAAATCTCCAGGGGTCCCCGACCCATATCCACATCCGGGAAAAAAGGGCAAAACGAATAACTCATGACACATCCCAAGCCTTCTTAGGCTTGATGGTACGGGAGATCAAGGGTTCGAATCTTGCCTCTCACAAAAATTTGTCACAATATGTGACGGTCTTCATTGACCAGTTTCGATGGAGTTTCTACTCACATCGAGTCCCCTCCCCTTCCCCTCTAGAATAGGCTAGTTTAGGTTATAGGAATTCTATCGTGTCGACAAAAAAAAAAAAAAGAATAACTCATGACACCTATGAATTACTTTTTACTATTTTTTTGTCTTTAACCAGTCGATTAAAACAGGTGTAAAACTCAATTCTACTAGTTGAAACGTTCATTATTCTTTCAGTTCTTTGATTTTCCATGTGGGAGGAGATATAGTAGTAGGATAAACAAGGTTAGAAGTCCAATCTTATGCTTTAAAAGCAAGAGTTCAAATCAAATATTGTGGCGAATTATGAACACAATCCATGTAGCAAAATTTTTCTGTATTTGCTGGAAAAAAAAATGTAAGCATGTTTGGTCGCAAAATAAGTAATTACTAGGGGTGTAAGCGAGTCTAATCAAACTAAACACGTTAATATTTAAGTTTGGTTTAATTATTTTAACGAACTTAAAATTTCAAGCCTAGCTCATTTATTTGTCAAACCGAGTTCATATGAGTTTTTATCGAGTTCGAGTAACTTGAAATTTTTATATGTAAAATATAATTTTATATTAATCGAACCAAGCTCGAGTCGAGTTTGAAAATTTATCGAACATACAACATTGTTCGAATTTTATTTGATTATTTGGCAAAGTAAGTTCGAATGAACTCTCACAAAGCCTAGTTTGATTCAGTTTCGAATAGTTTAGTTCATCGTTCAACCTCTAATAATGCAAGTAGGTATAATAGCACATTTTAAAACATTTGTTTTATTTTTTTTGGGGTCAGAGAAGATATATAATGCAATGTTGTGCTGTTAGGACTAAATAGGCGATGAGCAAGTAAATTGGACTTAAATACATGACGGGATAAGCTTTTATTTCGTTTTCCCCATAGGCAAAAACAGAGTAAATAACATATAATTCCATGGCTTTTTGTTGCAATATGCATAAAGATGAGTAAGATAGGTAGGGAGAGGTAAGAGTGATGCATTGATTTTTTTTTTTTTTTTATTTTTCACAAAAGAGTCCAAGAGAAACAGCTTGGCTTAATTTCTCTTTTGCAATCTTCAAAAAAAAAAAAAAAAAAAAAAAATTTCAGCTCAATGCAAAAAGGTCGTTGATGATTTAAATGTTAATACATGTTGATAATTGTCTTCAAATCATTATGCATGTATATATGTATCACTCTTCATCCACCCTTCAGATTTATGTGCAACAACCAACATACCTATCCTACGTACCCAACTCCTCTCCTCAACTAATACAAACTAGTGATGCCTGTAAGCTTTCTCTAACTGAGTTTTGAAGTTTGAGTATTTGCTTAGTTTTTTTTTTAATCCAAAGTCCTTCATCTCTCATCTATAGTCAATAGATTAACTTTCCAGCGAAATTTTAAGAGCTACTATACTAAGGTGAAAAGATCACCACAATTGTCCGTCTTCCATTTGAGAAATACTCTCAATTTGTGAGTGTACATTTCAATCCAAATATTTTATCGCTTTTATTAGCACATATCCTTTAGCTGCTTAGATTTCCTCTTGTACTGACTTGATTTTTTATAACTGATCTGTGCGCAGCAATTGCCCATCTTCGATTTTATTTGATTATCGAAATGCAAATTGAAGGCTATAATAATATCCTAGCCAGAAATTAGTTTCATCTAAATTCAGTCATGAGGTATATATAATACGATTAAGAAGCTCAAGAGGATCTGTTAAAATCATTTATTGATATATCAATTTTTTTTTAACTGCACTTCCATAGGTGTTGGACCGTAAACTCGTACAATAGATATGTGTTTTTTTTTCTTTTGTCAGCATTATTCCTTTTTAACTGCAAATTACTTTCGAGTTAAAATCTAACGTCACAAACTGATTATTATTCTGTCACCAAGTGTACATTAGAACACCTCATTCACCGACAATATAAATTGGTTTACTTCACCATTTAATGAATTTGTGTGCTTCCTATAGTAAATTCTAATTACAAATTTTTGTATCTCAGCAAATGCTATGGAAAAAAATCAAGAAAACCCTCATTACCACAATGAATTGTCCACAAAATGACAAAATTAATTATATAGGACATCATTGTGGTAATATACAAACTTCTAAACATTTATAGCTTATGTTAATTATTTTTTTTCCGCAGGTAAAATTAAAAAATGGTGAAGTTTGCCAAGATAGCTAGGGAAAGAATAGCCTGATTTTTCTACGGGCTCTTCCTGTGGGCATCGAGGGCACCTTCATCAATCTGCTCACAGAGCCCCGAAGCACCAAACCACCACGATGGATGAGCACATTGGGCTTGCCTGCGTGTTTTGCTCGTCGCAGCATAGGGGCGTAAGAGGTGGAAGAATTTTCCATTCATGCAATTTTTTTCCGCCCCTTACGCCACGCTCTAAGATCATCCTTCTTATGGCTCTCTCCTTCATCCGTGCTGTTGTGGTCACTCTCTACAAGCAGCGATCTTTTAGACACTGAGAGTGGTGTCCACATATGCAGCGCGGACGATCCATTGCCATGGAAAGAATTTACCGCGGAATGATTACTCATCCAGAAGACCATTAGAGAAGATGGTTTTACTGTCCATGGACCTCGTTACCATGGACGACTCTCCGCAAGCTACTCCAACACAACCAAGGAGGAGGGTCAGTTAACACTAGAGGACGAAGGTACTAATGCAGAGACAAAATAGGGGAAAGATGATAAGAATTAGGGTAGGCGAGCATTCATGGAGGAAGATGGTTGCGGTGCTTCTTTACCTGAGGTTCCTCGAGGAAAAAGGCTAAGAATGGGATGGCACTTGCCCATTTGGAATATCCAACAAGTCTTCTTGTTGGCTTAGATATCCTGCAACGTTGAAGAACTATTTAATTGGTTCACTATTTTTTTTTTTGGGAAAAAAAAAAGGATATCTCAGCACATTATAATTATCTCTAGGTCATAATATGGTGAAGTAAAAGAAAGACACAATTGAAGAATATGAGACTTTCGTCGAAAGCTCTTCTTAATGTAAGGAAGGTGGTGGGGATTGTACCTCAGGAATCTTCCCATAAGCACTCTATTCCATTCTCAGCCATTTCTTCCGAGCCCTTTAAGACATAATATTATTTTATCTCGTTAGTTCAATTTTTAATCCATAAAATGTGGCAAGTATCAAGTATGGATTTTGTATACAGAGTCAATATTTGGAAAAAGTTTACCAACCATCCCTGACGTTTATGTTTGTTTTTGAATTTACACCAACCTTTCTGTTGAGATGAAAGTTGAAAGTTAAAAAGTACTCATATTAGATAAGTAAACTAATATACCCTATCAATTACTTTATCACTGAGAAACAAATTTTGTATTGATTTCTATCTGTGTTTTCTTCCTCAAAGCATATTCCAAAATCCATCAAGACAAAAGTCCTAATTATTTCTAAAGTAGAAATTCATGCTTGTACAACCTACAAATTGTGCTATTTTCTTTTAGTTGATAGCATTGAAGAATTAGTTATTTCATTTTCTTACAAACTCTTAAATAGGAGGACAGATAATCACAAAATTTCTACATAGGAAAAAATAATTAAAATTCCTCCTGATGACCTCAAAGTGTACCACAAAGTTAAAATAATTAAAAGTTTCCAAAAAAAAGAAAATTAGATTACCAACTATTTTGGAGATTGCAATATTGTTTTGGACAGTTTATTTTTTTTTTCATTACTGGGCCAAAACACATAGCATCCGATCCTCAGTCCCCTTAAGGAGTCCCTTACCGGACCTTACCCTAAAAATTTGACATTTGTAACAAATTTGACATATGCAAACAATTTATTTTTCATAACAGGAGTAATGATTTTTTAGAATTTCAAGTCAAGTAAATCACAGTTATTTAAGAATGATTTTCTAGAATTCTAAGTTGATCACATATATTCAAATAAAAAAAAAAGGTGTAAAGAGTGATGAAAAGTATCGAATGTTGAGAAGGTTGAGAATAATTCTGATTATGGATTTAGGGTTTATAGATTTTTGTTTGATGTGATTTCTCATTGGTTGGATCATTGATGCACTAACTGAGTTTCGTAATATTCAAGAGAAGGGAATAGCCAAATAGGTTTTGGGATAGGATTAGGTTAATGAAATCACATGAATTGTTACAAGTATCAAATTTTTAGGGTGAGGCCTGGTAAGGGAGGTCTTTAAGGGGGTTGAGGATCGGGTGCAAAAACCCATATGGGTCCAAAAAAATTTTTTTGAAAGAAATATGGGTCCAAAAAATTGAAGTATATATGATTTTGTCCTACGTTTTCTCTCATAAGGTATCTGAGAAAAGGAATTCTAAATTGGGTTTTAATTGGGAATGCCTAACTTATGGAGCATTTTTTTTCCTTCTGACCGTCATATAATAAAGAGCCAATGAAGCTCTTTGATAAGATTCTTTGTCTCCTATCTTTTTTTTTCCCGAAGACTAGAAAAAATGCACTTACTTTGCACATGTATAAAATGAAAGCCCTTCTTTTACTGAATTTAATTGATGGAAATAGTTTAGAATAATTCCTTATGAATTTAATTAATGGAAGTAATTCAGAATAACTCAATAACTTATTAGTGGTAAAAGAAGTTGAGGATGTTTTAGGCATGTAATAATTTCATGAAGGGTATATTAGTGGTAAAAGAAGTTAAGGGTGTTTTATGTTGCTGGATGCCTAATCTTCAGTGCGATCTCTTCTTTCACGTACATTGAAGTTTTTTGTCTCTTTTCTTACTAATCCTTCGCTGCACAATCTTATAGGTTCACTTTGCAATTCCAATGGTTTTCTCAACCTGTACTTTGATTTACCATTTATACTGCAAACTTGTTGATAATAACTGCTATGCAACCAAGGACGTTATTCAAGGTCGTCAGCTGAAGTTTTTAGGACGTACTAATTAAAAGTAAGAAATTCGAAACAAGAAATAGAGCTGGTACTCCCCGGGATGATGATCATCCTGGCTTTCGCTAATGTACGTAGGCCTCCAAGACACAACGTTGCTACGGGCCTGTGAATAAATAAAGCTACCAGTACCAGTAAACAAATTACGTGGTGCTGATTTCTTGATGCTTGTTGCATGAAAGCAAAAAATTAGTACTTCTAGTAAAAGGTCTGAATATTATCAAACTTCCACACCTGTATCCATGGGCAATTTTGTTCAGTATCAATTGCTCTTCAAAATTCCCACAACACATACGATTATCTATTTCACGCTCTTCCACACCTGTATCCATGGCGAGAACTTGAAATACCAGGAGGTCGACAGTCGTTTTCTTTTTTCTTTCCCCTTGGCTTTGTTTATGCAAATGTCATAAAAAAAAAAAAAGTTCTTTATGATTGATTGGAGATAGAGAATGACAATCTGTTACCACGCAAAAGGTAAATTAGCTGTTGCACACACACACTCACATATGTTTGTACACACACATACAGAAACATATATATGTTTTTCAGAAGACTGTAAAAAAGAAATTAAACCAAGTGGTTTTTCTAGGATTAATTTGTAATAATAAAAGTGGGGAAAAAACCCGTAGGATCACCTTCACCTCTCCCTATCTACCTACACGTATATATATATATATATATATATATGTACGCACACAAACATACATGTATATTATGCATCCTCAATCGTTTTGAAGAAAATTGTCAACATGTACTAGAGTTTAAATCATCAAAAATCTCTTTGCATTGAATTGAAATTGTTTTTATTTGAAGATGACAAAAGAGAAATTAGGCCAAGCGATTTTTCTTGGCCTCATTCGTAACAATAAAAGGAGAAAAAAAAAAACCCAGAGGATCACCTTCACCTCTCCCTACCTACCCTACACCTCTCCTCAACCGATATAAGATAGTGCAGCCTCTAAACTTTCTCTAATTGAGTTTTCAGATTTGAGTATCTACTTAAAATTTTTTTCACCTAAATCCATCTTCATTTCTCATTTAGAGTCGACAGATTAACTTTCCATTAAATTTTTTAGAGCAATTAAGGTGGAAAGGTCAGCACCATTGTCCATCTTACCTTTTGAGTAACGCTATCAATTTCTGAGTATACATTTCAATCAAAGGTTATCCTACATTTTTTATTGTTTTTGTTAGTACATTTCCTTTAGCTGTTTATATTTCCTCATGTACTGACATGATTTTTTTTTCCCCTTTCTGATCAATGTGCAGCAAATAGCCATCTTCCATTCCTGATATACTGTCAACTTGTGAGTATACGCTGCAACCCAGAGACAATCCAACTATTTTATCATTTTTAGTTGTAAAATCTCCTTTAGCTGTTCAGTTTACCTCTTTTACTGATTGTCAAACACACACACACACACACATATGCTCACATTTCCACTTTTTGATTAAATCAATTTCTGCATGCATCAATTTTTTAGAAAAATTTCACCACACATACAGGTGAATTAATCTAAAAGAGCACACCATCAGCTGTTGTTAAGCAACTCGTATGCTTTTAAAAGATCTTCCCAAAGCACCACATGATGGAGCTGTGTAAACTGGATCTCTTATTAACCCTTCCCCCCCCCCCTCCCCCGGCCCCCTTTTCTTTTATTCGGCTATCTCTTGATTTTATTTGATTTTCGAAATTCAAGAAAGATCGTTTTCAAACCTATATTTGCTGCATCACTATTTTTAAAATCCTATGCTTGCATTGAAATGCAAATTAATTTAATTAAAGGCTCTACAACAATATCCTAGCTGGAAATTAATTTCATCTAAATCTAGCGATATGGGGTATATATATGACATGAGTAAGAAGCTGAAGCTGATCTGTAGCCTATCTGTTTAAATCATTTGCTGATACATCAATTTCTCTTGAATGGCACTTGCTTACGCGTTGGACCAAAATGTCATGCAACTAGAATTTTTTTTTTTTTTTGTCAGCATTATCTTTTCCTTTTCCTTTTTGAACTGGATACACCAAGCATATGTGGCCAAACCATAGGCGAAATATCTATTCCGAATCAGATGATTAAAGTGTACTGACCATGCTTCTCTTAGTTTTTACATGCAACACCAGTCTCACTGAATCCACGGTGGCCTCCGGAGACTCTGTTGACGGTGTTGAAAATTGGCGTCACAATTTGACTATTGTGTCACCATGTGTACTATAGAAGATGTCACTTTCTCACAATACACATTGGCTTACTCTGTCATTTGATGAATTTTTGTATTTCGTCCGGTAAATTCCAAGCACGAAATTGAAAAACTAGTTTTTGAAAAATAAAGGGAAAATTAATCAAGGAAAATCCTAATTACCATGATGAATTGATTACAACAAGTATTTTGTCTCTTTTTGACAAAATTAATTAATTACATAGGACATCATCGTGGAAAATTATGAACTTCTAACCATTAATGAATTAACTTGAATAATTTTTTTCTATAGGTAAAATTCAAAATATGGTGAAGTTCGCCGAGATAGCCAGGGAAAGAATGGCTCGATTCTTCTACGGGCTTTTCTTCTGGGCATCAAGAGCACTTTCAACAGCTCGATTGCAGAGGCTCAGAGCACCAAACCGTTGTGACGAGCACATTGGGCTTGCATGCGTGGTGTGCTCTTCGCAACATTGGGTCGTAAAGCAGGGAAGGATTTTCCACTCATGCATGGTAAAATCATGCAATCCTTCTCGCTCCTCATGTCCCGATTCGAGGTCATCCCTCCCATGGCTCTCTTCTTCATCCGCCCCATCGTGGTCACTCTCCACAGACGGTGATCTTTTAGGCACTGAGAGTGGAGTCCACATGTGCAGTGCAGATGATCCAATGCCATGGGAGGAGACCAGAACCTATACGAGCAGAAAACAACGAATGAGGGATCGCGAGCGGGAAAAGAGATGGGATATTCCACCACCACTAACTATATTGAGAGACCATGAAGCTTATGGAGGGCATATACCTTGGAGTCTTCGAAGGGAGTACAGGGATGGAAGGCTTATCCTGCGAGAGATTATCACGGATCAGTTTCATATTCAGGAGACCGTTAGAGAAGATGGCTTCCGGTACATGGACCTCGTGACCATGGGCAACTCCTCCGCGAGCTACACCAATGCAGCAGAGGAGGAGGGTGAGGTGGCACAGGAGAAAGAAGGTAGCAATGTGGAGACAAAATGGGGGCGAGAAGATAGGAATTAGGGGAAACGAAGATTAATGGAGGAAGATTGTTGCAGTGGTTCTTTACCTGAGGTTTCTCGAGGGAGAAAGCTGAGAATGGAGTGACATGGTCGACTTCCCTGACCATTTAGAATATCCAACAAGTATTCTTGTTGGCGCAGGTACTGTGCCAGCATTGAAGAATCGTTTAATTGGTTCACAATCTTTTTTGGCTAATTAAAGCCATCAAATTTGCAAACTTTTTTACAAGATTATTACTTGGAAAGTTGGTATTATTCATTGACTGAGTTGGCCATTATTCAAAAAGCTCAGTCTATATTCATGATTACTTGCTATTTATTACATTTATTCAAGTACAAGGATTATAACTGATATATTAAATGCATGGACTGTTAACCAAAAGTGTGTAAAGAAAGATACAAGATATGTGAGCACATAATTATTTCTACATTACAATATGTATGATGTAAAAAAAGACAACACAGGACTATGATTAATTCAAGGAAAATAGTGGAAATTGTACCTTGAGAAGTTACAACGAAGCACAAGACATTCTATCCCATTCTCATTCATTTCTTTCGAGCCTTTTAAACATAATATTCATTTACTTTGTTGCAATTTTTTGACAAAAAATGTGGCAAATATGGGAAAAGAAATTACTAACTTTCCCTGATATTTATATTTGTTTTTGAATTTAAACCAACTTTTCCTGTATAGGTAAAAGTAGAAAATTAAAGAACACTCATGTTAGATACGCCCGATCAATTACCTTATCAATGAGAAACAATTAAACAAATTTTATGCTAATTTGTTTCTGATTCTTCTTAATCAAAGCATATTCCAAAAATTCCTAGAGTAGTTCACTATTGTGTAATTTATCAATTATGCTATTTTCTTTTAGTTGATAGCCTTGAAACCTTAGTTATTTTCCAATTCTTACAAATTGTTAAATAGGAGTAATGATAATAATATTCATAAGTACTAAGGGGGAGTGCCTATGCATTGCGCGGGTATTTGATACCTGTGGTTGGAGAGGATTTTTCACTGAACAAATAATAGTACATTCTGGAAAGAAATAGTCATCAAATATGACAAAGTTAATAATAGTACATTCTAATTGCAACACACACTTGTACACTTTACTTTATTAATATTTTTACAATTTTACCATTCCAAAAAAGCCCCTACAAATGTCAGTTGACAATCACCTAAGAGCAGGTATAAGTTATTTCAGACAAATAAATATCCTCAAACGTCTAGTTATAGCAACGTGTTAATTGCACAACGTGTTAATATACCTTTATGTTAATTGCAAAACAAAAGCCACTCTTCAATTAAATGTATCTATAACACTATTTTAGTAATTATACCAACACATAAGCTTATATGAGTTGTATTCAATGCAAAAACGATTGCAAAATAATTTTATATTTCAGAAATACCCAAATGTTTCCATAAGTCAAAGTTTTAAATGTACCAAAATGAGGGCATTTCGGTAAATATATCTAAACACATGTTGCCCTCAGTTGTACCAAAAGCTTTAAAAAAAGTATACAACATTCCACATTTCCAAAAAGCTCCAATCCATGCATTTGAAATTCAAACCCCTTCTGACCACAACTCATTCTTAGTATACGGAATCTTCATTATCATTTTGAATTTATTCAAACTACAAATATTCCATACTAGAAAGAGTAAACAATTACAAGTTTTTTCTTAAAAGAAACTTATAGTTCTAAACTTTAGGAGATTGCTGTGCACGCGCGCGTGTATTCTGCACACTATTTTTTCATTGCTAGGCCAAAAGGACTTGCGGGTTCAAAAATTGTATACGATTTTGTCCTACATTTTTTTTTTCCAAAAGGTATCCAAGAGAGGTAAATTGGGCTGCTGTTTTTTTCCTTTCAACAAGGTAGTTCTTACTCCTACTACTACTCTATATTAAGGAGAGACGTGGATCTAAAGAGGTCAATAGGAGGATTCGAAAGAGACTGAAGTGCCTTTGGATTAGATCGGATGTACGATACATCTACTAGTGAAATTTCAAAAACTCCTTAATTACAAATACAAGCCAAAGGTTTAGAACTCCTAAACTATGGACTTAATCCCTTCCTAGCAGCCATCTAAGCTGGGCTGGATTGGTTAAACTGGGCCATAATCGAAATCGCCTAAATCAAGGAACATTTTTTTTATTCCTTTTTAGTGTCCCATAAGGTACTACTCACACAAATTATCTAGTTGATGACACTAGCAATAAAAGTGATCACTGCAAAAGTAATCTTTTTAAACATTTTATTCAAAGACATTCATATATGCTAGTGCTTAAGGCACACTCTAATGTGTGTGCAATTAACAAAAAATATATTTACCACAATTATCACTTTAAAAAGTTTTTTTAACGGATTTTGTGGCTCAAATTCCATTATAATGTAGATAATCATACACGAAACAAAGATGATGGAAATAGAGATAAATATGTGGAAGTTGGAAGTCAGATGGAGAAGCTTAGTTAGTTGATCACTATAACTATCTTCTGATTTAAATAACTTTCTGCAATTGAGACAAATTTGCCTTTATAATTAAGGGTATATTAGGAATTTTAAAAATTAATATTGTGTGTTTACACCATATAATGACGCTCTCGCTTTATATATTGTATAGATAAGGGTTAATAGATAATAGAAATAAGGTTAATTTTGAAAATACACCAAATTAACTACAGATTTTATTATTGTAAAGATATGGATTGGAAAAATAGCGTTCTTTTTGTACTAAATAAAAAATGAAAAATTAGATCTTGGTTTAGAAAATGGCTAATTTGTAATTATTCATCTTAAACATAATACAGGAACGATAAAAGAAACAAAAGTTTTAGAACGTATTACTCATAAAAGAATGAATGTATGAATAATAAACCAAAATAATTAAATAAATAAAGCACTAAAAAACCAAATTGAGCTACCGTAAGGGATAATGTCTTCTTCATTTCATCCAAATCTTATGCTGGTTAAACAAGAAATAGGTTCTCATAATTCTCGTATTTTCCTTCTCGTTCGCTTCTACCAATTATTTTACTCATTGTATCTTTACTAATTTGCATGTATTTTGCAGGAATTTCATAAATTTCGAGGTTACCAAAGAAAGATTTTATCTGCACATGCAACAGATGTTGTTTCCAAGCAAGTATCTTGATTTAAAGTCCTATCTTTTGCAGCCTTTTACTTACACGAGTTTTCCTTAATCTTGATTTTTTGTGCTTTCTTACTAGACAGTCGATAAAGTATTTCACTGGAGATTCTAAAGAAAGTAAGTATATATACAAATTTCAAAGCAAAAAATAGACTCTTTAATCCAATTTAAAAATTGCAAGAATCAGATTTTTATGCATCTAAAAACTATAACGTCGTATAAGTGTGGTGCCCATTTGCATTCAATTGAAAAAGATAAGAGCAATCAAGCGACGATATTTGGGCAGAGCAAAATTTTTAAGAAACTGGGGACTTCTATAGTTTGTAAATATTAATAGAGAAAATAGGGAAAGAGGGAGGGAGAAATATTTTTGAGGGGTTAACGAAATTGTTGGTTAAAATTGCCAAGTTAAAGGAAGAAATTTTCAGGAACTTGAAGTACTCTTGTGAATAACTGGAGTAATCTGCTGAGGTTTCTTTGTTCCCATTCTCGCAACAGATTGATGAGTTATTATCTGCATATAGAGATATATTAGATATCCTGAGGTGCATTGCAAAGTTAACAACGAAAAATTGAAATCTATTGGTAGAACTGTAGTTTTAGATACCCGGGGCCAATCAATGCAGATTAGATGATTTGCTGACTGAGATTGGCCCCTAAATGACCTGCAGAATTCATTTAACTCACCTGGTTAGATATTTTTGAGAGAATAGAAATACCATATTAGGTTATTCCACATAAAGTCCCCATAATCTAACAGGGATAAAATTTAAGATCTCTGAATCTATCAAATCGAACCCTTTTCTCTGAAGGTCTTCAAGGAACAAGTTGTCTGTGGTATATCTTAATTGTAAATGTATCTTGATCGGCTTGATCTTGTTTGATATAATTTCTTGAACTTCTGAATTTTTGTTTTTGGGGATATAAAACTATTCGAATGGTTTTTCTTCTTCAAAAAAAAAAAAAAAAAAAAGACCATACGAATGGTATACAAGGGCTTCCTACTCAAGGAAGATTTCTTCCTCTATTTTGATGTTTTGATTGCTTCCTCTTCGAGTGAGTTTTCTCTTCTTATAATCCATAACATGCACGTAAATGTTCCTTATATTCTATGTTTTTTAACATGTGCACACTACATTGTTTGCAATTTTGTGACACGTATCTATCACATGTTATATACAATCTCCACCGTTGCAATATTGTTCACAAATTTGTGGCACTTATCTATTACATGTTACAATCTCCTCCACAATTTTTGTTTTACTAACGCATTTAAAGTACATCTAATCGCTTTTAGAATGCGTAAATTAAATTTGGTGGTTCAGAGATGTGCAACAAGTACATGTATTGATTGCATGTAAAATTTGCTACTGTATATTTTTTGTACTTCATTAATAAGTGTTTATGATATGCACGTGCTTATATAGTGCATAGATTTGGGACACGTTTTTCATGCGGTCTAACAACCTTTCTTGATGTGCATTTTTTTGTTAATGTGGATAGAGCAAATTTATCTTCTTCTGAAATTAATAAAATAAGGTCCTATTTTTTGGGTCAATGAGTTGTGAAACGTTGAAAAACATGCTCCTCAATAAGTTATTTGAGAACTACGAAACTGTTCTGAATTTCACATCTTAGGAGGCTTTTGGGAACCTGATAAATTTTCGGGTGTGTACGTAAGCATATTTGTTCAAGAAGAAATGGATTAGAAGCTTCGTACTTGAGCCGACATAATAAGACCTTGGCACGACCAAAGATAGTAAATAGCTTTCAAACAAAAACAGCCCAACTTGATTAATTAAGTCCAAAAATTCACCATTAACAAAGTTTTAGCTGATCAAGTAACATCGACGGGTAACTAGTTTGCCAATTAACTTTGTCTACTATTTTTTGGATTAAAACTAATTTATACTTTGAACTTACATTATATTTTCAGTTTAATTTATATCACAAATTTTAATTTTGAACATTTTACACCTTAATCTTTTGGATTTGTTCCATTTTCCCTCCGATCGATAATGGCATTAGTAAAATTCATGAACTAGAGGGCCATATCCATAGCACGCTTTGT